AGGAGGTGGTAAAGGCTGCGGCGGGAAACGAACGGAATGGTAAGACCGTGATGGCGCTCCTTCTCGAGCAGCGAGGAGACGAGATCACAATCACAGAGGAAGTGGTGAAGGCTGCCGCAGGCAATGAAGGGAATGGCCAACAAATAGTGCAACTTCTCTTTGATCAGCGTAGAGAAGAGGCTGCCGCCTCAGTCACGGGTATGACGCTGCTCACAGCTGCAACATGTGGCCAGGATGGGGTTCTGGACCTTATCTCCCGACAGGATGGTCTCATCTCAGCCAACGACGAACACCGTCGCGTTGCAAATTTCTATAATGCGGCAAAGGCTGGAAACGTTTGTTGGGTTGAACAGCTTATACAGGAGGGCGTGAAACCCGATTCAAAGAATCCCAAGGGCTTAACGCCTTTATGGATCGCAGCAAGGGAGGGACACGATGCGGTCGTTCGAATTCTAGCGCAAAGGCTAGACGTGGACGTCAACTCATTATCGATTGCCGGGAGATCACCGTTGTTTTGGCCATCAAATTATGGTTATGAGAAGGTTGTAGCTATTCTGCTGGAGGCCAAAGCGGACCCGGGCCTTGTGGACGAAAACGGAGACACAGCCGTCAGCGTGGCACGAAATAATGGACATAAGAGTATTGCCAAGGCGTTTGAGAAATTCCAGCATCTTACAAAAGATGAGAACAGTTAGCTTCTGTCAAAGTACTTCAGGCTCTGTTGTTTCAATTCTCGAGTCGTGACGCAGTGCGACAAGCAAACTTGCCACTACTTGCCCGTCCGGAGCTCAAGATCCTTTAATTAGGATAACAATTGACTTGTTCGAGAGGAATCAGTATTTACTATCTCAAGCCTAGGATGAGCTCACTAGGTGGTGCCAAAGAATGAACAATCTATTTAGCAGTACAAAATGCTATATTTCCATCTGCTGTAATCTGTTAAACCTTACTCGCGAAGTTTTACGCCATGCACGGTTTGAACGTGGTTTTTGAAGTGATCCAAGCTTGTCAGGAAATCACCGAGATGCTGGCATTCGGGGTGGCGGCACACAAACCTCGCATTGCCCTTCTCGTGCCGCAGATGAACGTTCTCGACATGGTCCATCATGTGGGAAACACGCTTGAACTTTCTCATTCGAGCTGCATGAGTCAGTCGCTCATCCCCCACACAGTAGATGCATTGCGTTTTGCCTAGCAGGAGCGGACAATTTTCGAATGCTTCGGGCTTGAGAACTAGTTTGGACTCAGCCACCCCAGGAGAGGATTCTCTGCTTGCCTCTTGAGAAGGCCCCGATCGAGGCTGACGTACTTCTCGGCAGGTGGCGAGGCGAACCATAATATCGATAGCTCTGATTTTGCGGGCTGTTATATCCTCGAGACTCATATCCGTACTAAAGTCGCAGAGAATATTCTGCAAGCTTGAGCGCTCTGGCAGCTGATGCTCCACGGCAGGCTCCGTTTTCTCTTCGATAGCCATGCCATTCAATTGCCTCTCCAACTCTTCGTTGTGCATCCGTCGACGGTACTCTTCCTGGTATACTTTGGTCATGTCGCACCTGAAGGCTTTCTCTGAGTTTCGTAAATCACAACGAAGCTGCGAATATTTTGCTTTGACTTTCTTTGGGGCTGACTTGATAAATCCATACTGCTGCC